TAATTAAAGGATAAAAAGAGGAGAATTAGACTATACTTTCAATAATGATAAAGATTTCTAAAGTTTATACTAATATTTATGAATATTATCTTAATAAAAGAAAAAATAAATAATAAAGAAAGAAATAAATCAAGAAAATTATAAAAATCAGCTTAGTAAAGTCACTAGTAATTAATATAATTCAAGATTTAAGTATTTAAACTATAATATATATATAATATAAGTATAAATATATATAAAAATCTAAATAATAATATATAATAAGCAAGAAATGAAAAATTATAAAATTTTATACATAAAATTAATGATATATTATTATTATAATATTAGTATACAACTGAATTAGAATATTTAGTTATAATATGAGTAATATAATTATTTAGATCATATTTTTATATAAATATTCCCATTCATTTTAGTTATTAATCATAATACTCTTAGAGATAATTATTAGAATTTAAGATTTTTGTTTATAAAAAACTTTTTAAACTGGTTATTATTTAAAAATTGAAATTAATAATTAAATAAAAGACTTATAAAAACACATCTTCTATATCTTGTAAATTTCTCATATAAACGCCTAAATAATGATATTCACAGCTATTGGTACAGGTATTAGATTCATAATGCAAACATTTATCCAGTACAGAAATCCAGTAACATAAGTCTAGAAGTAATTAATTTTTTCAGACAAAAATATCTCCTAGCTAATCAACGGAAAAGGAAAGAAAAATATTCCATTCCATGAAGCATCTATTAAAAGTCCTTTTTATTGAAGATTGTGTTAACTGTATTTTGCGGGAAAATAATGATCCTAATATTATTAAATTTGAAATAAATGAAAGAAGGAAAAGGAGATCAAGGTTATTGATGTCATCTAGCCAAAATTTGATTGAAAAAGTCTGGGATTATGAAAATAAATATTGCGAAAAAATCAAAACATTTAAGGCTTTATTAAAGAGTGAATTGACCAAAGAATGGAACGGTTTTTCTAATGGTTTGGCGACGAAATTGATCAATGACATGAACCATTGTGTGACAGCGTTAATTGAATCCCACGGTGATTATAATCTGTATTAGTGGTCAGGATTAATCACATACTTTTATATAAAGAATTTTCACTTTATTGAAAGTTACTTATGAAATTGACTATACATTAATATAATTATTTTGTTGGTCTTTCCGTTCGAGTCCAATACCGCATTAATTCTCCTCGGCATTGAATAGATAATCCCCTCTAAAATAGAGATACATCAAATTTTTTCCATGCCTCCTTTAACATCATTTTAAGTTCAGCTACAGTCTTCGAAAAGACCTCGTACTTTTGGATGTTGTCCATTAACAGCTTCCAAACATTTTCAATTAGGTTTAGGTCGGGTGAATTGGCTGGCCAATTAATTGTTGCGATTTTATTTCCGTTGACCAATTTTCGATTTTTCCAGCAGTGTGGATTGGCGCGTTAGTTTTTAGAATTTCAAGGTATGTACTTGAGTTTGCATTTATTTTTTCGCCATTTTTATATTCATCAGCAAATATTAAAGTGTCCTTTTATTCCCCATGAAATCATCACCAGATTTTAGTCCACTTTTAAAAGTAGGCGACAAACAATCTGCATTAAATTTTCTCCAGCATGTCGCTAAATTCTTAGTTGCCGGGGATCGCTTGCCAATTTCAACGCTTATTTCGTAAGAGAATACAATTTTACCCAGTCATAAAGTCGATTTGATTTTCCTCGCAATTATATCCATGTGTGAATGAAGGAGGAATTGTACAATATATTTTTGGCAGTTGAAAGATTATAGTTTAGACTTAAATTACTGATAACCGTATTTTCGCGAAATAACGCTACCTGGGTGTTATTTTGAATACCTAGACGTTATTTCGGGTATTTCGATACATAAGCTCGATTTTTCTGCGTTGTACAATGAACGACATGTACAGTACATCAATGATCATATAAAAAATACACATGTAAGTACATGTACTTTTTTTTTGTTTTACACGTATTTATTTTTTTTTGTATTACACTTACACGGTGAACAACCCATAATGTAAAATGTGATCGTTATTTTTTGTTTCGCTCATCTCATCCAACTGTCATGCTTCTTTATATTACAAAATCGATTGGAAACGGGTTCAAGAATAGCGAAAACAAAAATAAAGAGTTCGAAACTGTGCCGAGGTCGAATTTATGTTAAAAGAAATGCGATTTATCAAGTTTATCAATGTTATATAGGTGGGTACGCGTTATTTCGGGACGCCCATGGGCGTTATTTGAAACCATGTATGCTATTTTTAAAGGATACGATTTTCCCAAATATGGTAATTTCGTAGGCTTTGATATGAGTAAATGTCTGCCGTGGTTGGCTAAGGACTCGCGGGACTTTCTGAACGTGGTAAGTTTTCAATATTTCTGTTTGTTTGTACCGTTGTCCAGCTATTTTTACGATTCGTGCAGCGTTTGTGGTTTCCATATATGCCAAAAGCTTCCTTTTTCGATTTCGTTGACATCACATTTTGCAAGAAAATCGTATATAAGAAATAAACAAATGTGTGTTTCTTTTGTTCTCAACATATTTGTCATTAATTATTAGCTATTCAAAAGAATCACTGTCACCGAATTTTAGAACCGTCCGTTCTATTTTTGAAAAACCTGAATATTAGAAAACAAAGCAAGTGTTCGTTTTAAGCGCAGTTATCTTTGTTATTATGAATAGTTACAACTGAATGAATGCATTAATCAATAATTACTGATTAAAAAGTTAGGATCTATGCAACTAATACTACGAAGAATTGATTTGAGGACACTAAGAAATTCAATGGACATTAACCCGTAAGATTTAGAGATTCGAGCCGTCACTTAATTCATTTTTGAACTCGGAAAAACCAGGTTATATTGAGTAAGGTATGCAGCAAGTACGCATTAAGTCTTAAATTTTGTTTTTTTTTGATCAACATCGATACATGTGCTTTATATTATCGTTATAGCGATAGGATATTATCACTTCCGAGTCTAACGCTAACCTGACGATAAGATCTGCCAATTCAGCATTCACAAAAAAAATAACGAATTCAGCCGTTAGCATCTATACACAAAAACTTCCGTACAATGAAGGCTGACATATTGTTAACTTCATACTCTAAGAAATTTACAAATTATTACGAAAATGCCAAACATTGCGATATTTCGATCACTGTGGGAAACCGAACTTTTGCAGCGCATTCATCGATACTAATGGCGCAGTCGGAATATTTTGCTACTTCTCTTTCCAATGTGTGGGTAAAACGAGAACCTAACAAATTGATCGTCTTTAAGAAACCAAATATTGAACCATGTATTTTTGAAAACTTATTAAGGTAAATCTTTATGTTTTAGAATTATCGTTATATTATATTAAAGTTTGAATATGGTCATTTTATAAGATATATGTACAGTGGCCAACTCGATTTGTCTAATCATGGAGTGCCAACGATTTTGGATTTGTTAGTTGCTGCTGATGAATTGATCCTTGAAGATTTGATTGAATATATTCAAGAATATCTTTTGGAACATCATTTTAAATACATGGTTGAAAATTACGCTATGATCAATCAAGTCGCTTTTCAACACAACTCCTTTATCAAACTACAAGAGTTTTGTACGGAAATTGCATGTGAAAATCCGGCTGCGGTTTTTCAATCCAATGATTTTGCGAACATCCAAGAAACAGCGATTATCTCTTTGCTCAAACGTGACGACTTGAATCTTAAAGAGATTAAAATCTGGGAAAAGGTACTTGAATGGGGAATTGCTCAAGTATCAGCTTCTGGCAACGTCGACTTATCGATCCCATTGGATCAATGGTCACAAAACGAATTCACTCAACTCAGTGCTACGCTCAAACATTGTTTACCATTAATTCGCTTCTTCCATATAAACTCTGTTGACTTCTATAACAAGGTGATGCCATACTTGGAACTTTTATCGAAAAAACTCTACACAGACTTGTTGCATCATTACTTGGTACCTGGAAGTGAGGAACAGCAAGCATCACTTCATCCCATCCGTAATTCGTACAACTCAATCTCAACAATTCTGTCTCGTAACCAGATCAATAAAATACTTCAATGGATAAAAGAACAGGATAGTGAAAAGAATGATCCATTAGAATTTAACTTATTATTACGTGGCAGCAGAGATGGGTTTTCTGCTCGAGATTTCCACCGTTTATGTGACCATAAAGGACCAACTATTGTTGCTGTCCGTGCCAAAGATTCTAACAAAATTCTTGGTGGCTACAATCCTCTTGAATGGAAATCTCTTGATCGAGCTTCTTCCGGATTGATGAGCTGCTTTTTATATAAATTTGATTCGGCTGACATTATGGGGTCAAATGGAGTTTTAAGTAAATATAAATCTGGCTATAGTATACATGACTTTAGAAGCATAGGTCCTTGCTTTGGACGTAGTGGTGACTTGTGTTTGTTTACTTCTTCAGGTAGTTATTGTTTCAAATCTTCTTACGAGATTGGTCTTTTAAGCGAACTAAACCAACAAATATTTTTTGGTATTGAGGATTATGAGGTTTTTCAAATAGTAAAGAAATAATATTAATTTTTCGTCGTTGTATTCAAACGTTTGAAGATTTATTTATGCAAATTACGATATTATATCTTCTTCATATGTGTTTTAATACAAAGAAAAGTTGTTATTTTTTTTAGATTTAAACTAATATTTTAATCTTCTGCAGTAGTACATTGTATGTTATTACATGTATGCGCTGTTTATGAATTAAAAGGTGTTAATTCTACCAAATATTAACGTTAACGCAGAAATTGATTTTATTTGAACTTCGCGACATTACGATAATTGTAAATAAAACTAAGTATATACACTAAAAAAGGTTTAGAAGTTTTGAATTCTCTCATCCTCATTTGGGCCGGAGGGATAGCTATCTCTACTATCGCTATACTATAAACCTTTAGTTTTTAATGACTGATCGACTGACCAGAAGAAACCCTCAACTATCATCACCGCCGATTAAAAGGAACCAAAATGCCATCACTACTAATCGGAAGGTCACCAACAAGAAATTTGCTTTCCTTTAAGTGACAAAAAAGAATAGAAAGTTGCTTAGTATGTCATGTTGAAAAGCATTAATGTTTAGGTTAAAAATCGCATAATAGGATGAGAGTTATAAAGATCATAAAATTATAAAATAAAGAGAGTAAATTTCTTGTTGGATAATAAGGTTATTTCTGGCTTTCCCGGTATCGACATTTAATCGAAACAATATACATGTACATCTAAATACTCCAAACTTTGTAGTGTTCGATAACGCAGTCAGCAATTTTACAAAACACACTGTTATAATTAATTGTTTGTTATATATTTGTTGTTATATTTCTGTGATGTGAAAGATTTTATTTTTCAAGAGATGAAATGATTTTATATCACCTTGAATAAGGCGTTTCATCTATATTTACGCATCTTGCGGAAGTCATATCTAATAAACATTTTATTGTTTCATATCTCAATCTGAAAATTCTTATGAATATCATGAATATCAAGAAAAAACTGACTAACCGTTATATCTTATTTAGAACTTGCTTCTCAAAAGCGGCGATAAATAGTTTGATTTGTATTTTGAAAATTCATGTCTTTTATTTTACTAACCTAGATAGTAACCTATATACATGTACATGTATATGTATAATAATATATCATATAGCTCAGGTTACATATAAATACATGTAACTATCAAAACGAAGTTTTTAACGTTATTTCTCCAGTATACGAAAGAAAAGGCCTTAAAAGACAGAGCCAATCGACGCGTGAGTTTTAAAATAATTCAATAGTTATTTTAATGAAGTTTATTGATTTTTTGTTTATAAAAACTTCTATATATGTCAGAACGAAGACATAAACAAAGTAATCATGAACAAACTTTTAGTCCTCTCTTATGTTGTTGGATGAAATTTTACTGCCCCATAAGACGTTAATGCTCTAAGTCATTCATTCGTATTCTCTTTATTTTCATCTAAATGAATCATCAAGTAATAAATTAAAGAAAAGAATAGTAATGAATTATAACAAATTTATCTAACTTGTGTTTGTATACACAAGCCACATTAGATCCATGCCTCTCTTTATAAAAACATAATTATAAATTTTATAAGAACAAAATTTTTTTGTGCCCTGACCATGTTCTTATAGAGAGGTGTGACTGTATAACAATAAACGACATAGATTTATTTTAAGTTCTATCACAAACTTTGCCGAGTGACATACACTGTACATGTATCTCGAAATTGGATTATTCTCACGAATATTTTTTATTTTTTGACGGTAGATATTTCTATATATAGTTTTTAATTGTTAAATAGAATAAAGAACTTATCATTTTTATCGTAATTCTTTGTTCTGATCATTTCTTTAACAATAATTAATAGCTTATGAGTAATAAATATATGCGCGTAAATACATGTACAAAGAAATTGAAATCATTTTTGGTTCGTGATAAGATCAATTATCTGTAAATTATCTTGCAAGTCATCGATACTGATAAAGTTTCGAAGTTGCCCAGCAGTTGGTCTGTTTTCTGGAATAGGATCCTAACATTTATCAATAATAAATTTGCATCATCCGGAAATATAATTTGACCTCTCATGTCGTACTCCTTATAATACGAAATGCTTATTATGACTCCGCTCATCAAATGGTCGTTCACCAGTTGCAATCTTCTTAATTAGATTTTTCTATGGGAACAGTAAGCCCAAAATCAACTTGAGGAAGGCTACCTATTGATTCAAAATTGTACGCGTTATTAAGATGGAAGTCACGATGTACAAACTTTCTTCGTGGAACGATTCTCAAATTTCTCAAATTAATGATACATGTAATAATCCTTAACTATGAATATTTCTAATTTTGATTCTAAACACTAAGTCAATTCTTCGTACTACATGTATAGAGACAAATAGAAATGATACGTATGTTATCGCTGAATTTTTTTTTGTAATTAGACCATTAATGAAAAATGTCACATAGCAAAAATGAATGGCTTGAAGATGCCATTAAAAAAAACAAAATAAACCATTACGACTTTAAATTATTTATAAATAAAGAAGTAATAGGTACCGGAGCATTTGGCGAAGTGTCAAAGGCAGATATCTTAACGTTAAATGGTAATTTGACGACGGTTGCACTAAAAAGATTCTTGATCAAAAACGAAAAATCTAAAAAAAATATAAACAAGAATTTCATTAAAGAGGTGATTTTATTTTATCTAAACAATATTTTGAATAAAAAAATTGAAATACAATAATCAATATTATTTTATTAGTTGCAATTTCTTATTAAACTGAAACAACATGAAAATATTATACAACTATATGGAATTACAAAAGGTAAAGACCATAAGGAAATCAAATATTAAATTATGAACGTGAACTTATAAACTTCATGAAATAGATCCAACTTCGAATGGATATATACTTGTTTTGGAATATGCTAATGGCGGCACTCTAGAAGATTTCTTAGCAAAAAATCGAAAACTTACTGTAGATAAAAAATTAATATTGGCATTTCAACTAGCTCAAGGATTAGAATTTATACATGATTCCGGAATAATTCATAGAGATCTGGTAACGACCTATAGTTTTCTAGTTAAAGCAACTATAACTAGAATCATAACAATGTGTTGGTGCACCGGGAGAAAATCAAAATGGATATTCGAAACCTTCAAACGATCATTTTAATTCGAGAACGTACTTAGGCGTAGCAAGCTACATTGACCCTGCGTTTTTACTGAATTTTGACTATCGCCGAGACGGAGAATCAGACATCTTCAGCCTTGGGATTCTTTTTTGGGTTCTATCTAGCGGTCGAATTCCATCCAACAAAACAGGCTATGCATGGTATAGTCCAACAGATGAAAAAGAGGCTACAGTTTCCGGGACGCCTACAAAATACGTTGCGCTGTATAAACAATGTTGGGATAATATACCGGAAAGTCGACCTAATATTCATGAAGTGAATCAAATACTCAAAGAAATCATTGGACGATTCATCGGAATTATCAGTAGATATATCAGATAATAGCACTTTTCAAAGTAGTTTATTCGAGTATGAAAATGTAGAAGATATGTTGACACAGCTACAATTAAACGCAGAGATTTTAACTATTGGAAAACCCTTGGAAATAATAAACAATGAATTATTAAATGTTTTATATAATGTACTCAATTCTGGTGAAACTCAAGAAAAAATATCTCAACAATTACGTATCCATATAGATACACATAACTATGATAAAGTACAATTAAACTTTCTTTTGCACAATCATCAAAATACGAATACCTTCACATTATTGGGATTTCTCTATCAACATGAAATAGGAACACAAAAAGATGAGAAAAAGCATTCGAATGGCATTTGAAATCAGCAGAAGGTGGAAATTCTTTAGGCTTGGTTTTTGTTATCGAAATGGAATTGGAACAAAAAAAGACGAGAAAAAAGCATTCAAATGGTATTTGAAATCAGCAGAAGATGGAAATACTTTAGGTCAAATTAATTCTTATTTTGTTTATTTAACTTACAGTGGTCGTCATAAATATTCGGAATTTTTGATATAGTGCATAGAATAATGAAAAATTCTCAAAATTGCCTGATAATTTAGACAACAAGTTTGATTAAAATATTTTACAGAATTACTATTAAATATTATTACACTTTTTCAATAAAATTTATTCTAAAAAATAAGTCAGATCCAACAAAGATTGAGCTCATATTATTAAAAATAATATTAAGTAATCCTATTATTTTATTATAAGTGAAATTGTTCATTATATTACAATGAATATATTTATAAATTTTGATATAATTCCAACATTTTTTCATTAAATAATCAATAAAGATATAAAGTTAGCTACATTTTTAGTTTTTTATAATTTAATGGTATTTTATACCAATATGTCTTAAGTAACTTTGTTCTTCATATCAAAAAACATATATTTGAAAAATTTCACAAAATTCTATTCATTCTTTATCATATAATTGATATACAAATTTAAAAATTCTGAATCTTTATGACGACCACTGTAGATTTTGATAATAAATTTATTGAAATTTAATGTTCACATTAAAAATATGATTGATTGAATCTCGTCATGGTCGATTACACTTTACTAATTAAGCAATAACTATATGTAACAGCTAATATTTGATATTTTGTTGACTTACACTAATTTTTAATATATAACTGAATGTGCAGTGGCATTTTTTTTACAATCAACTTGGAAATCGCGAACGCAGCCATCAGATGTAATAATAAAAATCACATGTTTTATCGCGTCCCGAAGTGCCGTATATGACCGTCCGGGGGTTTCTTATTTTGATATCAAATCTCGTGATCAAATGATCGGATCAGAATGATCTGTCGAACGATGGTAAATAGAATACGCAAATTTTTTGATCAACCCAGAAAAAATAAATATAATACTAATAAACTATCAAAAGTTTCTTATTTTTGGGGTTTCTTATTTTCGGGGATTTCCTATTTTCGGTCATATACGGTAACCGATCAAATTTTTGGATGCGATCTTCAAAAATTAATTCGTTCATTTCGGAACATGTCCAATGATTTAATTCACGTGATTCTACCATTTGATGAACGGTGACGATCAAAAGTAATGCAACGCAAAAATTGAAAATTGTTAACGTTAAATCGCGATATCTTTACACAGACTCGAGAACATCAAATTATAGTTGATAGATTTAATTAAGTATATGCAAATAACTTTAAATATAATAAATTCAATGAAGACTATTAAGCTAATTATGTCACAATCACAATATTTATTCAAATTTTTAGTATTGCATTATATTTGCTTGTTTTTAATAAAATTTGTATAACCTTAAAAACATCATATTTTTTATTTTTTAACTATACCTGATATACTACCATCTAGTATAAGTAATTGCCATGTACTTTTATTACATTACAAATCCTTTTTGGCATAGAACAAATTAAATTTATGTAATAATCCACATCAATTTCCTTCCAAATCAGCTATATTTTCTCTCACAAATCTTCTATACCTGAAATTGATCCAGAGAAATACTAAAGACAATGATCTATTTTATTCCATAAATATTTGATTGAATTCACATCAGGTGAATGTGTCAGCTAATCTAAAATAATAGTATTATATTAATGAACTATTCTTTCATCAAATTTGCAAATCTGTATTCTTTAATAGTATTCATAAGAATTTCTTCAAGAATTTATTGATATAATATGTTACTCATGTTCTTATCAATCTTACAAAAGTTGTCAACATCATGAAAGATGAAATAACTCCATATTATTACTTGTCTATTGAAATTTTATTATAGATTTAATATAATAACTTTTTAATAACTCATCTGTTCTTTTCAATAGTATTATTTTTATTAGATTCAAAAACCTGAAACTTAGATCAGACTAACTTTGATCAATCTTTATAGATCTAGTTTTTGTATTTTTTTAATGAACTTGAGATGATATTATTGGTATTTGGGCTTCAGGTATGGTTTTTTTGTTTTATTCCTGCTACTAAATCATTCTTTTTTTTAGTGTATAATTAGTTTTGAATAGTAACAATAGTGAAATAGTTATAAAATATAATAAGATGAATTGTTATTCTTTCTAACTGGTTATTTAATAACTATGAATGATTAAGCTTACTTTATATCATTTAAAATGTGTTATTCATGCCATTATTTATTGATATGTGAGATAATCAAAGAACTAATTTTATGAGTTCTTGCTATTTCTCTTGTGATATATCCATTTGAAGTAAAATGATTATTTTGAACCTTTCTTCAAGAGTCATATAACATTTTGATCAGGGTTTGCTCTTGGACAATTTTGAATAGAAATTTATTAATAATTTAATTATGTAGATATTTGGACAACATGTTTGGACTGGGCCAGGGCCAATCTTGATTTTGATGTATGTTTTTTATTATTAAAAAGTTGTAATATAGTTTAAGAAAAAAAAGATAAATAAAACAATGATTTATTTTGCGACTTCTGTATAGCATTACTTCCCATATAGCATTACTTCCCATTTGATCTCTTGAAATAGAAAATCAAAAGAAATGCAACACTCATTTTTGTGAGTTCGCGTATCTATCTCACAATTGTGTTTAATTAAATAAAACTGGTACTATTAATGTACCATATTTATTAATTTTATTAAATTTTGCTAGCTATTTATAAAGATATCGCAATTTAACAATTTTCAGTTTTACTTTTGATCGCCATCGTGAATGAAAAATTCAAAATTTTTGAATTTGATTGTTCTTTGCTGAATGTAATGCGAATTCTTGCGAAAAAGTTTGTAAACTAAATTTGTTAATGCAATCAAAATTGTCACGAAAAATTTAGAAAATTTATATGGTATAATCTATAATTTTTTGACAAAAATTCATGAAAGAGTTTTTACACCGACTTTCATTTGGAAATATTTGATAAAGCTTAAATTTCCGATTTTGAACTTAACATTCCAACAAATATAGAAAAATCAAACAAAATTTTTGAGTACTTCCTTATATGAATCAGAGGTGTTAAAGGAGAACCATACACTAACGCTGCAGAAATGATTTGGGGTGGTAATATACGAGATTGCAACAGATGAACGACCATTTGATGAGTGAAGTAACAAATAATATTTCAGATGGTGCAAATTTATTAAAATGTTGGAATTCTATTCCAAAAAACAGACCAACTGTTGAGGAACTTCGATACATTATCAATTCTACGAACAGCAATTTTTGTGTGTGGTACATGTTCTATATAAATTAAAACTATATACTTAATAATTGATGATTTCGCAGTCTCATAATTTAATTTAGCAAAAGTTTTTTCCCATCTGTATTATTATTAAATAATTCCAATTAAAATGCAACTCAAATACATCGAAAGAATCAACAACCAAATAAATGAACCATCCACCAACGAAGTATCCATAACGAATTCAAATGCACAAAATATCTTCGATAATGATAACAATAATACTACTGTTGTCATCGCAACATAAAATCCCGTGATTACTAGACTTATGGAATCGTCCATGACTGACTAAACCGACCGACCGGAAGTTCAAAACGGAGTAAGGGCAATGACATTTTATTATGTAATATTTTGGGGGGTCACGAAAAATCTTATGTTAACATTGATCACATGATATCATTAAAAGTATATACCCGATTTAGTGGCTTTACTATGGTTTTTTATTTAACATGTTTTATAATATTAAAATAAATGAAATGATAAAAGGAAAATGGTCTGTATTCACGTGATCATAATTTCTTACCGGGTAAAGCGTCTATAATGTAAAATGATATTACGTGATACATGTATATGTCACCGCCCTAATGTTCAACGATAGATTCTAAATTAGTAATGACATTATACACGTAATTACTCCTGTTTTTCCATTTCCCTGATCCAACCAAATTTGACGGAAATTCTTACAAAATTCTTACCGCATTCCCAAGAATATAACTTTCAGTAGAGTCCCCACCTACAAAGTTAGGGAGTTGTGATTAAATCAACGCCTTGATTAATTCATAATATTTGAGCTATTATCATTTTATTGTTCGACATTGTGCCATTATTTGTTTGATACTATTATTGTTATTTTTAAACACCCCCCTTTTTTTAAGGAAATCGGAATAAAACCTAAACAGAACATTCAGTCTCTCGAACTATTATTTTGATTAGAAATATTAATTTGTTGGGAGTAACAGCTGTTTGCGTTAAATAAAGATAAATCCTATTACTTACTCTATCTTTAATTCCCGTTCCTTTTAATTTTGTCCCGTGATTGCTCAATCTCCGTGTAGATTGGCACAGGAGACCTTAGTGAAATCCACTTCGTGTAAATCATTCAGTCTAGCTCTCATCCCCTTTGTTGCGCTAGAAATTCTCTAGTACAACTAACTTCAGAATTACACGTAACACTACATATCTATATAGTTTTTTTATCGAACATCCTAATAGTACAGGGATATTCCGCGCATTTTACTTTTTAAATAAGCGTTGTGATTTTTATTACGCGTTTTACTTTTTAAGCACATGTTATATTCATGATAGAGACTCGGGTGGTAATTTGGGGTCTATTAATAGTGGGGATAGTGTATGTCATGAATTACGGTAGTAATGCAATTTGTGATACATCTCTTTTTTATCATAACTGTGATCTGTATATGCTATGCTTTAATTAAATTAGGAATTTTACAAACTCGAAATATTTATTGTTGGAAAATTTGATTGGTCAAGCACATGTAGATGTTTGTATCATTCAAGAATTTTCAAAAAAAATCAGCAAGCTGTCTTTCCCTAACTTCCAAAAGGTGTCAATTTACGATTGCATTTATTTATATGTATGACGTGATTCATAAATTTATAAATACATTTGAGAACGTGTCTACGATAGATTTTCTCTTCACGTAATTTTTCTGACATTTCTATTGCGCCGGCTGATCAAAAGTTGGTGCATTCTTATTGGTGATTGACAAAAATTTGCGCGCGCACCTTCACGAAGGTTCTACGCTGTTAACTGAACCCATTTTCCGACGGGATCAGGGAAAAATCGATCGTGGAGCTGTATACGTTAGGATATCGTACATTCAGAATTTCGTGCATTCGAGATTTCGTGCTTTGATTTCATTTCGGGTTTTTCGATTGTCAGGATTTTGGTTGTCGGGATGTTGAACGACACCGCTAAGAATTATATCATAATTGCAGTGCGAATCATAACGCTGAGAAATTTTCAGGGCACAAACACCTGTTCATCTACGTTTTTTATAGGCTGGTAAACGTTTCAATCGGAACTTTTATACTCTTATTTGGTAATAACGATACCGTTAACAACGAAGATTTACGTGTCTATTATCGGTTAACTAATTAGCGGCTCTAGATTTACTTTTCGGCAGCAATGCTTCCTACAAATACGAAGCAAGATTTATCTTTTAAAGACTTTTTTAGCAAAGCGCGCAAATTTATTGTGATACACCAATATAGTACATGAACATGTACGACTTTACTGTATCTTTATTATGATCGACCAATGGAGGAATACGTGCATACACAATAAAAAGATGGCAAAGCGTTGTCGTTTTCCAATACCTGTCCATACTTTAAATAACATTACCTTATTCTCTTACTGTCTATACTTTAAATAACATTTCAATTTACGAATAACAATGTCCAGCAAAAAGGAAGATAGAAAACTTAATAAATCCGAACAGCAACAACAACAACAACAAAATCCAAAAGAAACAAACCAATTGCAAACTTCTAAAGCGAAAAAAAAACAACGTCGTCTACGACAGGAACAACAAATCGAGAAATTGACGTCAAAAATTCCGTATGGTATTTCAGCTACTTTGAATTTACATAAGGCGATTGAAATCACTAAAGAAAAAGTTAAAAGGGTAATAACGATAAGAAATCGAATTGATAAACAACAAATAGCCTTATTCTTTTATCTGTATGCTTCAATATCTCCCTTTTTTATTATTGTTATTATTATTTTAAATAGATCGCGAAAGAATGTCGTCGATTGAATATAAAGTTTCTTGACCGTGAATTTGACGTTTCAGAACTCGATTCTTGTCTTTATAATCAACATTCAGAGAATCATAGTGCGATTAATGATAGCAAGAGAGTAAATAAACTTTTTAAAGAACCAAAATTTTATGCTGATGGAGTTAGCCCTGGTGATGTTCAACAAGGATGGGTGCGTGTGTTATTTTAATTTGTTATTAATCGCAAATATGTGTGCGCTTGGTATACGCATTTTAACGTTAATTTGCATATTTTCTTATAATTAAAAAAGTTTGGCGATTGCTGGTTTTTATCTGCAATCTCTACATGCACAAATATTCCAGGTATCATTGAGACTATTTGTGTTGAACGTGACGAACAAGTAGGGGTAAGTGGAAAAACAATTTTTCAAGATACAATTCCATATGATATTAATTAGTTAACTCTTAACAACAACAACAACAACAACAGGTATATGGCTTTATATTCTTCAAGGTATTTGAACTTAATATTTTTTAATCAGGACGCGCGCTTAGCATAACGAAAAAGTGAACTTGATATTTTATAGAAAATTAATGACCCAGTAAAATTTCGTGTTAATATATTGTTTAATTTTTTTTAGGATGGAGATTGGGTTTCGACAGTTGTTGACAGCCAATTGTTTGTTAAGACTGACATAGAAAAAAATACTTCGGATATTGCAGTCGCGTGAGTTTCAAAATTTTTTTTTATCTTTAAAAGAAAATACTAATTTATTATTTACTTGTTTAGTAAATGTAAAGATCCAAATGAAACTTGGTTGTCATTACTTGAAAAAGCGTATGCTAAAATTCATGGAGATTACGAATCTATTGAAGGCGGTTTTGTGTCGGAAGGTATATTTTTGGCATATTTATTTGAAATTTGATCAAAACAAATCGGTTAAAATGTATATTAAACTCGACAAAAGCTCTCGAAGATCTTACCGGTGGCGTGGCCAGTAGCTTTGAAACAAGTGAAATATTAGATATAGACCGATTATGGAAAGAAGATTTTCTTAACGTGAACAAATCGGTATTGCTTGGCTGTGCCAGATCCGGACTTGGAACAGTAAGCGGCTTAGTAGACGGACATGCGTACAGTATTTTAGGCTCGGCGGAATATCAAGGCACAAGACTAGTAAAAGTGCGAAACCCGTGGGGAAATACGGAATGGACAGGTGCTTGGAGTGATGGCAGTGAACTTTGGACTCCGGAATCTATGGCGGCATTGAATCATCGATTTGGTGATGACGGCATTTTTTGGATCTCTTACGAAGATTTCTTAGATTATTTCAATTTGTATTATAGATGTCGAATTTTTGATTCTCGTTGGAATGTTTATTCCACGTGGATTAACTATAACGTTCGTCCGAAATCAGATGGGAAATTTATTTTAAATCTGTCAAAGAAAGCAGACGTTATTATTGTTCTTCAACAACCGGATAGTCGATATTTCCATAAAGGACCGGCATACTTGTAAGTATTTATCTTAAAACAACCATATCTTATAACCGAATCAAAATTTGCTAAATATCTATCTCATGATCTTTATACAGATACCAGCTCGCCTTTAGAGTTTTCGAAAAGGGAAGCTCGACTTATCTAATACGAAGCCCCTACACCAAAACCTTTTATCCGTGGGGACGCAACATAAACCTCGAAATAGAACTTGAAGCGGGCACCTACGAAATTATCCCACGAATCAATGCTATTCCTAATCCCGATGTAAAAAATGACAAAAAATCTGACGATACTACAAAAGACGAGACGAATACAGACGAAACGAAGACAGAAGAAACTCAAACAGAAGAATATGGAAATCAAAATTCCGAATCTACTGCAACTACTACGCAACCTACAATTGTAGACTTAGCTGGGAAAAAAGATAAATTAGCATCCAAGCTTTCTATTGGAATTGATGCTAATGATGATGCTTATGATGACGATGATGATGACGACGATGATGACGACGACCAAAAACCTAATGTTTCGAAATGGGATTTGAAATTAGGAATCAGAGTTTATTCTAAGAGTGATGGTATCAGTGTTGAAGCATATGAAGGACCATTTCCTGTTTCTAAAGATAAAAAAATCTTAAATGAGGAGGAAGATCAAGATCCAGAAGCTGAAACAACAATTACAAATTAGCATCGAAAATTCACAACTCTTTTCTTTAAATAATTATTGTTTTTTATTACATATTATACTTTCATGTACGTGTGTTAGTTTATCATTATAGTTATTTTCATAAATAAATTATTTCAATGGATCAATTTCTTACACATTCCTACAATGAATAACCAGAAATACAAAAAAAAAGTAAACATAATAAAATCAAAATTAATGCTCTATATTGAAATTTTGATTTTCATATAAAAAGATAGAAATAACATGTATTAATTTTTGTAATGATTGTACATGTAGCTAATGTTCTGAAAAAAGTTCAATTTTGAACTTAAATCAAATTTGTAATCTGATTTTGAGCTTGAATTCAAACTTCTAGTTTGAGTTTGAGAAGAGTTTGAGCGTAAATATAATTGTAACAATAAGAACACAAAATTAATTTCATATATGAAATTTTAACTTCAATTAGAACAAGCTAAAAATTTTAAATGTATAATTTTTAATTTTATCAAAATGCTCTATATTTTCATAGAGTAATTTTTTATTATAGAATATTTTGTAATTCTAGTTGAACTCACAATATTAAAACCACTTCAAACTCGAATTGAACTTGAGTTTTAGGTCCATGCAGATTACATGTAGTGACATATTATTATTAACATTGCAATAGATCTTATCAAATCAAAAATATAAAGACATGAATAAAAATCAACAATACAACAACTTGAAATTTCCATTTTTATATATAAAGCGTGGAAAATTTTTTCTCAAATATAAAGCATGGGAAATTTTTTTATTTTACAATTAAAACGATCTGATATCAAATAGAAATAAATAATTACTAGAAAATATGAATATTATATAAATTGAAAATTTCCGTTTTTTATATGTTTTACTATATAATTTTGCACCAGGCGAGGCTTACATTTACATGTAATTACTATAGTATATCTTCAGAAATCTGCTAAAAATAAGATGAATAACTTTTTCAAAAAAAGGTAGCGAAAAATAATGCTTCCATACTAACATTTAATAGCCGTGCTAGTATTGCTACTGGTTTTACGTCTTTAAGGATATACATGTATTTGTGATTTTTGAATATCTAGTTATTCTCAGTCCCAATACAGTATATAACTTTTAAAAATAAGAAAACGTAGTAGAAATTATAAATAAAATAAACTACGCCCTTATTTCAAGCCAATTTTTTTTTTTGCAAAAAAGAGTGGTATGTTAAAACAAGTACAATATAATATTCAAAAACGAGAAAAGTTATATGAATTTCAACTAATGTGTTCTTTAAAAAAATGTATCTAGAATAAGAATTAGATTGGATTTTCTGAGAAAAGCTTGTTATCTAAAATATAAAATATTAAATCATGTAATCATTAAATAGCAATACACAAAATAATAATATATATATTTTTATGAAAAACATAAACAAAGAATTGAAAATGAATTAACTTTCTAAAGTTTAAACAGTGAAAAAATAGTAAAATGTATGATACAGATTAGAATAAATTTCTTCGAAATTGAAAAATTCAACCAATTCAGAAGCCAGATCATGTCCATTTTCTGAAACCACTTCACAGCTACATAAATCGAGATTTTTCGAAACACCTATGCCATGTTGATAAAATTTTCCAAGATTGAGCTGAGTTTTATTATGTCCTAATTCTGCTGCGCTTAAGTACCGACAAAATCGTTTTTATCTGTTCCTTCACCATATTCATAGCATTTGTCCAAGTCGAAAATGTTGATGAGGTTCAATATATTGAAATAATTCTAAAGTTCTTCAAAGTAGGAATTTTTCATTTCTTTAGTCTCTTTGTTTCTTTCATAACTAAATCTGAGTAAAAATAGAACCCACCAAGCTCGGATTCTGCAGATTTGGAAAAATGTCTTTATACCATTTTTCACTGTCCCTCTTCCAAACTCGTAGCATCTGGAAAGATTATAGTGTGCAAAAGGATTTCTGAGTCAGCCGATTTCAAATACCACACAAATGCTTTTTGTTCATCTTTATTGTTCCTTTGTCATTTTCATAATAGCGAGCAAGATTATTTTGTGCGTTAAGGTATCCTAACCCTGCTGCTTTCAAATGTTGCTCAAATACTTTTTGTTTATTCCTTCGCCATTTTTATAACAGCGAGCAAGCCAAGCAACAATCGGCAGAATCTGGATATCTTCATTATTTCGATTTGATTTTCAGTTAAATGAGGGTGGTTCTAAATTGTGCTGTAATTGACCCGAATTAATTACTATAATATATTTATTCATCTACGTCATTTGTTGGTTAAAATCTTTTTTGATCCCTCTTTATCATCTAAAAATGGTTGAAGATGTTGTTCAAGTAATTCTAGATATTTTTGACCAGTTATTGCACTATAAACTTTGATTAGTGGCCCGAGTGCATTTTGGATAAAACATTCCCACACCACTACTCCCCAGTTACTTGATTTCATACTAGAAAAAAGATAATCAACGTCATATTTTCATGGGTCGACGCCAAACCCATTGCCGTGAATCATTTCTGAATATTAAATATCTTGATTTATCACGCCAAATTACTAATTTCCCATTCAAGAACCTTTTCGTTCTAGACACCATTTTAATCATTTTTAACAATTTTTCTCAGATATAAAAGGTTTTCTTAGACCAGCCCGACCAAAAAAAAACCCATTTCATGAAGATTACGACGTATTGTTTTAGAAATAACCGAAATTTCCAAAGCTGTATTGAATTTTTCGGTAATTTCATCAACTGCTTGTTGCCAGTTTTCTTTTATGATGTTGATTATTCAAGTATTTCTAATATTTAATATTGGTGGTTTACCGCTCCTGGCAGCAACTTTGGTTCGGCCAAACTCTTTATATTTTTGTATGACATTATGAACTGTAGATTTGGGTCGTCCTAGAGTTCTCCAATTTCTTGTTCGGAAAAATCACACTTCCAAGCGCCGACTATCTCGCCACACTCAAAATCCGTAAGTTGGCAATCTCTGCGAGTATTGGACTTCCGTGTGTTGCACAAATAACGATGCAACTCACCTTTATTTATTTCGATCACCCATGATTCCGAATGTACTGTTACAACTATTTCATTAAAATCAGCAATTCCGGAAATCATGAAGGGAATCGTCCTGACCGCAACACCACATACTTTCCGACCCCCTATTGTTCAGCATTATCCAGCATCACATTCGTAACC